TAGAAATAGGAGTAAATGTTTGCTGCCAATCATGCACAAAAATGTCTACCTGCACTGAGCAAAAAATCCAGAAAAACTCAGCTCGCTGCCTTGATAATTGGATTGCACATTGATGGGTGATGCTAAGATTCAAACCTATGACCTTTGATTTGACTCTAATACCAAATTGAAGTATGTACTTCATCTCAACTAAAAGCCTAACCTGATAATTAAATTACACATTAATGATTATATGTTCAACAGCTCTAAGTGTCTCACGCACTAGTAGAATACGTTTAATACAACGCCATACGTTTAATTGCTATTTTAATTTCAGTAAAAAGTTTAGAGCTTTTATTTCATATTTTATTAATAAGAAAAATTGTAATATAGTGAATAAAAAATGAAAAATAAATGGTGGTACACAATAACACATGCAATGCTCACTTGCATAGTTGCATGTGTACATATTCTCACCGGTTTGACCTGCTAAAATAATTCCAAGTAGGTTGGTCTGACTCCAACATTTCTACAATTAGCCTACGCAACATACTGCAGACATGTGTACGATACCATCATCTTCACTTTATAATTTGTTCAACCAAATTCAGCTCCCCATTTGTGATTACCAATTGTTGCAATAAAATTGCACTGCAAGTTTGTTTCCGTAATTTCTTTATTTTTTAAATCTAATGGATGGAAATCCCCAAATAATTATTCATGTTGACTACACGAGCCAGAGACACACTCATGAAGTCATTATTACGAAGTTCAAGGATATGATCTTAATATTCGATCGAGGCATGAACCTCATGCACGGAAGACGCTCAAGAGCGCTTTTCGTCAACCTATCAGCAACTCTATCTATTCTGCTCTCAATATACATGCATAACCCAAACATTCCAATCTTTGCAAACAAATATTAGAATTTTTTTTTTAAAATGAAGTTCGACAATAATTTTATTCAAAATTAATTAGAACTATGATTTAAAAAAAAAAAAATATTATACGGGTTCTTGATTTGGAAATTAAGTATAGAAGTGTATGTATGTAATACTATAAATATTTTATCATTAACAAATTTTTTTGGACGTGACATGTTATGATTAGTTTACTATTAAATCAATAGATCTTGTGATTATATGACCACAGAATTATATATACCACATCATATCGTTCAATGCAAAAATTAATATAAAAGTATACATAGTAGTACAGTACTACATATCTAAATCTAATCTAAAAACATAATAAGTATGAATGAAGGTTATACCCTTCATTTATATCGTTTTTTCCATTAAGTTTTTTTATATATACATTATGCTATAAAAGTTGTACTTTATAATATTTTGGACAAACATACCCCTACTGTTATAACTTCCGCTATCTTTTTTACTGTTGTTACCATGTACATGCATCCACCATATATTTTCTTATCTTCTTCTTCTTCTTCTTCAATAATAATAATAATAATAATAATAATAATAATAATAATAATAATAATAATAATAATAATAACAACAACAACAACAACAACAACAACAACAATACTAATAATAATAATAATATGTATGCATTATATATTAGAGTTATATATTAGTTATTTCATGAAATATAAATATCAATTTTAGAGTTATATATTAGTTATTTCTTAAAATATAAATATCAATTTTATAAAAATGTTTTACATTATTATTATTATTATTATTATTATTATTATTATTATTATTATTATTATTATTATTGGTTATAGGATAATGAGAAATTAATTCTAAAAAAAATCTATTTTTAAATTATATATATATATATATATATATATATATATATATATATATATATATATATATATATATATATATATATATATATATAGACTTGAGTTCAAATGAGGACAAGTATATTATAGAGGATTGTGAGGACAGATGTAGTGTGTGCCATTAGCCTGTATGTCGTGTGCATGGCCGAATGAAGTTGTGTGCCACAGTTTGTATTTCGCGCGCATAGATTTGTTAATTAATAGAACCTGAGTTCGAAACTTGATATTTACATATATTCTTGCGTGCCATTATGTATTAAATTGTGTGCCTGATATTAAATTGTTGTGTGCCCATTATTTGTCCTCACAGTCCTCTATATATTGTTGTCCTCATTAGGGTTGAGTTCAAATGAGGACAACAATATATAGAGGACTGTGAGGACAAATAATGGGCACACAACAAATTACTATCAGGTACACAATTTAATACATAATGGCACACAAGAATACATGTAAGCATCAGGTTTCGAACCCAGGCTCTATTAATTAACAAATGTATGCACGCGACATACAAACTATGGCACACGACTACATTCGGCCATGCACACAACATACAGGCTAATGGCACACACTACATCTGTCCTCACAGTCCTCTATAATATACTTGTCCTCATTTGAACGCAAGTCTATATATATATATATATATATATATATATATATATATATATATATATATATATATATATATATATATGATCATATGAGAACACTTGCTTAGGTGAGAACGTGAGAACAAATCGTGTGCATCTATCTAATTTTTTTAATGGTCTAGATTACATTAAGTGTGTGCGAACGCGAATAAGTGCGTTTGCACACATTTAATTCGCGTTCGCACACACTTAATCTAATCTAGACAATTAGATGGATGCACATGATTTGTTCTCACATTCTCACCTAAACAAGTGTTCTCATTGGGACCTTACTCTCTCTCTCTCTCTCTCTCTCTCTCTCTATATATATATATATATATATATATATATATATATATATATATATATATATATATATATATATATATATATATATATATATATATATATATATATATATATATATATATATATATATATATATATATATATATATATATATATATATATATATATATATATATATATATATATGATCGCGTTCAGGTGCGAACTGCCCGCCTAGGAGAGAACTGAGAACCATTCACTCATTCAGTGTTGTCCACGTGTCTAGATCAACGAATCATATGTAATTTTAAAAAAAACGATGCGGTGGCATTTTCGTAAATAACTCAAACTTTGGTGCATGTAAATGTGTTATAAGTGCAAGTATTTGGTGCACCTTTGCAAGTAAAAAGTGCAAGTAAATTCACTTACTACAAGTGCACGTACTTTCACTTACAAGTGCATGTAATTTTACCTTGTTAACATTAATGCACCTAGGTGAAACTACTTATAACTATAGGTGCACCTAGTTATAACGTTAGGTGCACTATAGTTTTAATGCTCAGTATAAATTTTACTTGCACCTATAATACATTTTACCTACACTTCTAATACATTTTACATACACTAAGGTACACTATATGAAATTGTTACTTGCACTTCGATGTTCAATTATTTACGAAAATGACATCGTATTTTAAAAAAAAAACAGTGTTTCTCATTCCTTAGATTTGGACACGTGAACAACGCTGAATGATTCTCAGTTCTCTCCTGGGCAGCCGTTCGCATGAGAGCGTGCCATATATATATATATATATATATATATATATATATATATATAATTTTGTAAACTCGACTTATTCTCCCCAACAACATTCATTACATACAATACCGTATTGGTAAAGAAATTGTTTGGCGTGACATATTGTTATTAGTTTATTATTCAATAATCAATAAGTAACACATCATCTATTGCACTTTGATCCTTTATATGTACGTAATATCATGGATACTTCAATTGTAAATTAAAATTTTTGTTTGACATGATATATTATGATTAATTTGTATTGTTATTTAATTAATAGATCTGATGTTGTGATTTAATAATCAGTTAATCACAACACAATGTTAAGCTAAATCATTTTCCAAGTCATTCTTCAAGAAGTACAAGGGTGTGGAAAGGAATTGTTGATAATGTAGATGAAGATAGGTGAGGCAGGCTTGACCGGAAGCACCTTTCAATAGAATTCAATTGGTTTGCCACCCACAATGGTAGCGGAGACGGCTAATGGGTGGTGGGGCTTTAAGTTCAGATATCAGCAAATTAAAAAGTGCTAAGATTAGGCTACCTACTTGACACTTAACCTTCCATTTCCAACTTCTTACTCTTCTTCCATCCCTCGACCTTACACCTCTTCCTAAATCTTCATTTCTTTCCTTTTCTTAATTGTTCACAAGTTCTAGGGTTGTCCTTCTTTCTTAATTAGGATGTCAATTGCCAAACGTACGACACTTCCAGATGAGTCAAATGACTCTATTGCCCATCTGCTCTCCTCCATATCTTCTATTTAATTAATATAATGTTACTTTGTATTTCTAAAAGAATTGCATAACTTATTGTGAGTCGTGAGATATATATTAGTTTAGGATCGGAAATTAAAATCAATAACATGTGATCATAGTGAAATAATTTTAACTTGCTTAATTTAAATGATCAAATTTCATAAATTTAACAGCAGACATGAGGAGAACTTTCTTAAATGAGATTGGATAACAACAAAATTCTGAATTAATTAGAACTTACTTTAAAAATAAGAAAAAAGAATTGCACACTACACGTGTATCTATGTTCTAGAGATTATGTTTTGGTTGGTCCATCTTATACAACTCCAAAATGGAAAAAAAATAAAAAAAATTAGAGGAAGTTATTGTAGTTTTTTTTTTTTTTTTTTTCAAATACTCATATTTTTTACAAAGTAATATCTGTTTTTTACTTTCTCAATTTTTTTGAGTTCTAAAAACCAATGTTCTTGTGACCACCCATTTTGAATTGTAATAGAGATGTTATCAAACTATATAGTACTTGCTGTACAATTAATGCAACATATTTATTAATGTGTTTTGTGTTGTTGTATTATTAAAAGGAAAATGATTAAATTTGTGATCAAATGAGAATTATATAGCAATTGTGCCTGAGGGCATATGGTAATTACAGCAAATGTTGACAAAGTTAGGTGAACCATGCACGCCCTCTATAAATAAACACCAAAACCAAATACAGGGTGGTAAGTATTACGTCTCATTTATTCATTCCCTTCTTAATTGCGTTTTGCCAAAAAGTTTGCTTGGTTTATGAAAAAGCACAAAGATGGTGATGACCCCATATCACGGCGGAATTGGAAGCACCACTTCTGCTACGGCAATAACGGCAGTCTCGCTGGTATTGACGCTGTTTTTGATTCTTGATTCTCCGGCAGCGATGGGGAACCCCGTGGTTGACTTTTCCAGCATAGAGGAGGCCGGCTATGGGGAGGAGAAGCTTTCCACTGTTCTGATTGATGGTACTGTCCTCTGTCATCCTTGTCTCTACGCTCAAAAGGCGGCGGCTCGTCACGATCGTCTCCGCCAGCCTCCGCCACAACCCATCTCAGGTGCGTTGCCGCCGTTAAAGTATATATCCTACAAGTTCTTTTCATTTTTTCTGCTAATATGGCCGTGTTTGTATTTGTTTACATATTTATCTAATTATCATATTCTAATAGTTTTACTTCCTATTTTTAAAAAAACTTTATCCAGTATAGTTTATAATGCGGAGTACCATTATATTGTGAAAATCCAATAGAAACCCATAAGCATGAGGTGAGGGGTTCGATCCCCATTCATTTGAATGGAGCAAACTATTTGATCAGTTACGCTGACAATCAGAACGGGGATTAGTCTTCTTGGCAGTCGATTGCAGGGATATCTTGAATAACTAAAAAAAAGTATGAAAATTCAATGGAACTAGTGATATTATTAATTTAGTAATTACAAGGTTTTTTGGTGGGAACAATCTATTCTCCTAAGTTTGAGCATAGGTGTGAGTAACTTAGACAAGTTTACCTTCTTGTGGTCATTTACGTACCATTACCTTCATATGGTCATTTACTGATCACTATGAAGCGCTTACTATTGCGTCAAAGAGCATCTCGCAACAAAGACACAACTTTATTTTTTTATAGATCCCTATAAGATGCATTTTCTAGAGGCAGGGAGTTGGACTTGATCCTTCACCGGCCTCCGCCCAACAATTCCCTAGCCCTCAATTGATGAACTTGACGGTTTAAGCCTCCGTCCAACAGACTTTATTTAGAATGCTCTTTCTTAAGGACAGTAAATTTTTTCGTAAATCAAAGAATATTATTATATATTTTTCACTTTTTACTTTATATTAACATGCCATGTTTGGATTGATTTAGATAAATAATTACGTAAGAGTATTTATTTTTTATTTTTCTTCCTTTAATAAAATTTAAACATATTGGGAGACTTTGATCATTAACCATTTTAATATATATATGCAGGGGCTTCCGTGGGTGTTTATTGCGGCGGCAGAAGAGGAGGGAGATGGCGGCGGTTATGGGCGCGGAACACGACGGACGAATACGGCGAGTTCCTTATAGATCTGCCTTCACATCTCCATGCAATTCCAAACCTACAAAATAATTGCTGGGTTAAGGTTCTTCATCTTCCAAGGGATTCAACCTGCAGCAGCCACCCATCTTTTACAAGGAAACGCAAAGGCATGAAGCTCACCGCAATCCGCGGCGACACCGGCCTCCGTACTTACACCGCCCACAACATACATATCAACGATAAAGCATGCACAAAATGATAACAAACAAGCGTATTATATATAGTGTCTTCTAGCTAGGTTTTAAACAATTACATACGACGATCGAGAGTTTTCAGTTTTGTACAAAATTGGCCACAGCGTTACTCATCTGGTTGGCGCTCCAGTCACAATGTTTGAGTTATTTACGTGCAGTGGTCTGGCTTCAACTTGAATTGCTAAGTTATATATTTATATAATATATAAATGAGTGGCGAGTATTTATCTTTTGAAATATACGTGTAGGGTTGTTAACGAACTGAATATAAATGAATTGTGGTTGTTTGTGTTCGTTTGTTAAAGTTTTTAGATTGTTTGTGTTCGTGTTTGTTTGTTAGGGTTTTTAAAAATCCTGTTCGTGTTCGTTTGTTAAGCGTTAATTAATGTTTGTTAACCTTCGCGAACACGTTCACGAACGTGTTCGTTAACATTAACGAACACATAACGAACGTGGTTAACATTAACGAACACGTTCATGAACATGTTCGTTAATGCTTAATAACCAAACATATGAACATGTTCATGATCACAATTCGTTCGTTAACGAGAAATAATATATGTTCACAAAAAATAACCAAACAAGTAACACAACTATAAAGAGAATACAAACAAATATTAAACGAACACAAACGAGCTTGTTCGCGAACATTATTAAACGAACACTAAACGAGCTTGTTCACAATTTCTTAGCAAACGAGCTTACAACTGTTATTCAGACTCCGTTCGTTTATAAATCGAGCTCTAAATTTTGTTTGTTAATTTGCTTAATAAACGAACGCTTACCGAACACGAACATGAGTAGTTTACGGAAAGCTCTGTTCGCTAACGCCCCTATATGTGTATTTGTGCACGAGAAATTATTATTATTAGTATTGTTAGGATGAAAAGCTTATCACTACATTAAAAGTTATATATATATATATATATATATATATATATATATATATATATATATATATATATATATATATATTTTAATACCGCCATCAATTCCCCATTCCTGCGCACCTGTTTGGCCTATAATACCACTTGTTAAAATCATTTACCACTACGCCAAAAGTTATAACTCACAGCGAAGACACAATTTTATATTTCATATATCATTACTATATTTTCGAGAGGCAAGGTACTGGACTTAACATTTCACCGGCCTCCGTCCAACAACCCCCTAACCACCAATTGTTGGACTTGACCCTTTATTGGCCTCCGCCCAACAATTATTATTATTATTATTATTATTATTATTATTATTATTATTATTATTATTATTTCTTTATATATCTCATGTTTGTTAATAATTGGTCTCATCACTTCAATATCATCTATGTGACACCCCGTAATCCAAATTCGATTAAGGGATTAATTAAGTAATTAATCCTAATTCAATTGGTAATTTAAATCCCTAAATTTCTGAAAATTCAATAGTCGGGGATTAGTAATTGACTAGTCAACCCAAAGTCAAAAGTTGTACCTTAAGCTTTGTGAGTTGTTCCCTTACACATTTCATCTTAGTAAGGGCAAATAAGACATTTCCTTGGCAATAGTCTTTCAAGCTAACCTAGGAAGACACATTTCATTTCTTCAAACACTCTCCAAGAGAAAAATCATAAGCTCTCTCTCTCTCTCTTCTCTCTAAAAGCTAGTTAGCTTTCTTTCCAAGCCACACCTAGGGCTACCAAGATCTTTCAAGTTTGCCTTCAAGATTCTACCTTTAATACTTTTGAGCATCTAGGAGGGTAAGATCTAAGATCCTCTTGTATTTTTAGTGTTTTCTAAGGTATATTTTTACAAAGGTGAAATCTTTATGTTGTTTAGGTGTGTTCTTGAAGTGGGTGTGGAAAGGGAACCTTGTTGAGAGCTTTGTGAAGTGTCTAAAGTGAAAGTTGAGTCTTCAAGAGGTAACTCATGCTTTACAAAATCTATTTTTCTTATCTATATGATAATTTCTTGGATTCTACATGTGATTTTGCTATGAAATGTGAGTGTTGATGCATTGTCTTGTGAAAATGCATATCTAGAGCTTGTTATTAGGGTTCTTATATGCCATTGCTTGGCTATTCCTTTGATTCAAGTCATTTTGTTGTATTGGGTGAGATTTGGCATGTTTTGGACTTGAATTTGAGCTTGGTGTTGAAAATCCTCGAAGGGATTATTTGGTGTACAGGTATGTACCCGCGGGCGGAACGGCGGGCAGTGGCCTACCCGCTGCCCCACCCGCGGGGAACAAGGCGTTGGAAATGGTGTTCCCGCGGGCGGAACCACGGGTGGGGGTCTACCCGTGAGTCCACCCGCGGGGAACAATGTTGGCTTGTTTGGGGATTTGTTCCCCGTGATTCTTTTGATTCGGTATTTGGTCTTTTGACTTCCCGATGTTTTTTGTGGAACTATTTGAGCGTCTCCTTGATGTTTCGTATGTCTAGAACTATATGGTAGGAATCCATGTAGGTTTTGGTGTCTTGAATCGTGCTAAGTGTTCAACATTGTGATTCGTTGAACCGTGATGAGTCTTGTGTGTTCTTCAGAACTACGTTTGGTAAGCATGCTAGTTCAGTGTTTAAATGCTAGCATGTGTGTTATTTGTACTTTCTTATTGTTGATGATGACTTGTGGTAATCATCGTTGTTGTTGGATTGTGATCCATTCCTTGATTGAGTATGGTTACATATTTTCGTTGTGATCCGTTGATTGATTCCTGTTGTGGTGTGGTGTGTGTGGCTGTACCTGGATTGCACGATTAATGGTATGGGACATTAGTCACCAAGGTACAGCAGTGGTCCTCGTGGTGGCCATGACGCGATTATGGAGTTTGTGACCTTTGTGTAAGGTTCACGTATTTCTTGGGTGGCATGTGTTGCCGTGTGTGTGATCGGTACCCTCGTGTACTATGAAATCGGTGGTCTTGTTGGTGGGGGACGACGGTCCCAGGAGGGAAAAGGTTGGACTTGGATGTACAGGGGTACTGGAGGTAATGGTTGGAACTAGACATAAGGTTGGGGGTAGCCATAAGGTTGGAACCGGGCATAAGGAAGGCATCTCAATTCGTGATGGGTGATGTCACGAAGGCTTATGAAGCCGTTGTTGTGTGTTTCTCTATTTGTGACGTGTGATGTCACAAAGGCATGTGTTGCCGATGGTTGTGTCCTTATTCTCTTGTGTTATGCATGTCGGGTGTTAATCTACTGTGTGATGGTAGATTATGCCTTGAGCCGTCCTTGTGTGTCGTTGTACTTCTTATTGTCTTGGGATGCGTTCCCTTATCTTTATTGTGAGTGCAAAGAGTCTCGTGTTTGACTTCTGCTCTTGGTTTTGAACTTATATATATATATATATATATATATATATATATATATATATATATATATATATATATATATATATATATATATATATATATATATATATATTCCGTTTCGCAAATGATTTTACATACGTATATCCTATCTATGTATGATATTTCACATGTATTAGTGGGTTACCAGCATTATTCGCTGAACGAGCGTCGTCCCATATTTTATATGTTTCTTTCAGGTGATGAGTAGACGAGAGCGCGGTCTATAACCTGTTAGCTTAGATCCCTTTATTTTGAGACGTTGTGGCCTGTGTGCCAAAGTTAGACATTAGTACTCCTGTTTCTGTATGAATTTAGATTGTGGCTTATGCAGATGTTTCGCCTGTGCGTTCACCTTTGGGTGGGCGTGGCATAGCACCCTTTATTTCCTATTTATATAATCCCTGTTTAGTCTTCCGCTGTGTATGATATTTTGGCAAGTTATCTGCATGTTTAAGGTTTAATTTAGCATGGAAATTAGGGTGTGTTACAATCTAGCCATCTAGGGTTCTTTGAATCATGTGATATTTGTGTTAGTATAGTTATTATTCCCATATTATTATTGTATATTATATGGTTGTATTTATGTGGTATTAGAATAGCTGACTTAGTTTAATCTATTAGTCAGGAGTAGTTAGAGTTTCATTCTAGATATAATTTGTAATTCCTATTGTTGTGTAACTGAATGAATCGACTTCTCTAATTTGGTATCAGTCAAGTTATCGATTCTCTCTCCACCTCCACTACAAAATTCCCCCTCTCACCGTTCACTCTCCGGCATGTCAATCAACTCATCGGAGCACACCGTCTCCGCCGTCAGCCGGTACGAATTCCCTCGCCGGTGCGCATCATTACGTATCGATGAAGCTTACGTCCAGAAACTTCCTTTTCTGGCGTACACAACTAATTCCATTCCTACGCGGCCAAGAGCTGCTTGGTTTCGTTGATGGCAGTATTCCGTGCCCACCAGAGACCATCATCGTCACTCTATCCTCTGGCGACTCCTCCACCATGATGCGACACCAGTACCCAATCCGGCTTACAACGCATGGGTGAAGCAGGATTAGTTGATCCTTTCGCTTCTTGTCTCCTCCATGTCGGATGAGGTGCTGTACTTGGCGCTCGGCCGGAACACCGCCGCGGATGTAACAACCCAAAATTTAATTTTATAAATTCGATTTTAAGAAATTCCGAAATAGCCATTTTTCACTCCGTAAAAATTTTTGCGATGAAATCAATGTTGAATAAATTATTTTGAGCCACTTTTAAGTAAATTCAACACCGGGGATTATTTTAAATCTAAAATCCTAAATTTTTGGGTACATTGCATACCAAATTTTCGATCCAAAAGTCAATCTGAGTGAAACCGGAAAGGAACCTGTGAAACCTGAACCAAGTGTTTTAATTAGAACTATCTTTTAGAAAATATATTTTTTTGACCCCAAGTTATTCAAAAATCATCTTTTTAGACTATGGTTCATGATGCAAGGTGAACCCTACAATTTTATTTTACATTTTTACCCCCAAACCCTAAGTATAAGAGATAACTTTTTCCCTTGTTGCTCTATTCATTCAAAAGGAATCAGCAGCTCTCATCTCTCATCTTTCTCTCGTGTCTTTCCCCTATCATCTTCATCTTCTTCATTTTTGGAGTTTCTTCTTCTTCCCAAGCTTAGGTTTCAAGACTAGGTAAGATATCTTCTCCCATTTCCTTTGGTTAGCTTATTTCTAAGATGAGATTATCTAAGCTAGATGTGTTTGTTTGTGTTGGTTGTTGCTTGAGAAATGGAGATGGTAAAGAAGAAGACCTAGCTTGAGGTTGGAGATGGAAGAATTCTTGAGGTTGAAGCTTGAGGTATAACCCATGGATTTCCAAATCTAGTATTTTGCACTAAGTTACGTGATTATTGTTCAAGTGTGTATATATGTATTTTGGGTGTTTAGAATGATGAAATGTAAGTTATT